ATGATAACAGATGCTTTAACACCTGTTAAAGAGAGGACTTTAACACCCTCTCTCAGAGATGGACAGATCCTCTAAACAGAAATTAAACAAAGATATAAGAGATTTAAATGAGACCCTAAAATAACTGTGCTTGATAGACGCATATAGAACACTCCATCCCAAAGATAAAGAATATACATTCTTCTCATCACCCCATGGAACATTCTCCAAAATTGATCATATCCTGAGACACAAAACAAACCTCAACAGAGTCAAAAGAATTAAAATTTTACTTGCACCTTCTCAGACCACAAGGCACTAAAGGTGGAACTCAACTCCAACAAAAACGTTCAACCTCACACAAAGGCATGGAAGTTAAACAGCCTTATGCTGAATGAACAACCTTATGCAGGAAGAAATGAAAAAGGAAATCATTAACTTCCTTGAGTATAACAACAGTGAAGACACAAGCTACCAAAACTTGTGGGATACACCAAAAGCTGTCCTGAGAGGAAAATTTATTGCTTTAAAAGCCTACATTCGAAAAACAGAAAGAGAGTGCATCAAACTCACCAGCCATCTTATGGAATTGGAAGAAGAAGAACAATCTAAGTCTAAACCCAGCAGAAGAAAAGAAATATCCTAAATTAAATCAGAGATTAATGAAATTGAAAACAAAAGAATCAGAAAATTAATGAAAGAAGGAGTTGGTTTTCGAAAAAATAAATAAAATAGATAAACCTTTGGCCAGACTAACTAGAAATAAAAAAGTAAAATCTCTAGTAACCTCAATCAGAAATGATAAAGGGGAAATAACAACTGATGCCACAGGGATATAAGAGATTATTTCTGAATACTACAAGACACTCTATGCCCAGAAATTTGACAATGTGAAGGAAATGGACCAAGTAATTTTTTTTTTTTTGAGACAGAGCCTCAGGCTGTCCCCCTGGGTAAAGTGCTGTGGCATCATGGCTCACAGCAACCTCCAACTCCTGGACTCAAGCGAGTCTCCTGCCTCTGCCTCCCAAGTAGCTGGGACCACAGGCGACCACCACAACGCCTGGCTATATATTTTTTTTTTGGTTGCAGCCGTCATTATTGTTTGGTGGGCCCAGGCTGGATTCAAACCCACCACCTTAGGTGTATATGGCTGGCGCCTTAGCCACTTGAGCCACAGGCGCCAAGCCCAAGTAATTAATTTTTATAAGTAAGTTTGTATAAGAATGTGAAAGATAGAGGAATGAGAAAGTAGTGGAAACAAGTCTAGTTTTTCTATTTGGATGTAGGACAGAATGGTACAGAATTGCCTTTTTAATTAATGTAAAATGGAAAGAAAAGGATCTAGCATATTTCTCCCTAAATGGGAATAAATATTAAATGCTATTGTAACTCAATTATTTATTGATTTATTTTTAATTTCTTTTTTTGAGAGAGAGTCACACTATGTCACCTTTGGTAGAGGGCCATGGCATCACAGCTCACAGCAACCTCAAACTCTTGGGCTTAAGCAATTCTCTTGTCTCAGCCTCCCAAGTAGCTGTGGCTATAGGCACCTACCACAACACCTGGCCATTTTTTGTTGCAGTTGTCATTGTTGTTTAGCTGGCCCGGGCCGGGTTTAAACCTGTCAGCCTGGGTGTGTGTGGCTGGGGCCCTAGCCACTGAGCTGCAGGTGCTGCCAGTTTTATATTTATATTTAATTGATTTCACAGAAATGGTGAGTTTCTGACATAGTGCCTTGTGGAAAGTAGGTATAGGTAGCACAGATCTCCAAAAATATGATTTTTTTTTTTGAGCCAGCATCTCACTTGTTGCCCCAGGCTAGGATGCCATTGCATTAGCCTAGCTCACAGCAACCTCAAACTCCTGGGCTTAAGTGATGCTCCTGCCTCAGCCTCCTGACTAGGTTGGACTGCAGGGGCCCACCACAACACCTGGCTAAATTTTCTATTTTTGGAGAGACAGGGTCTCACTCTTGCTGAGGCTGGTCTTAAACTCCTGAACTCAAGGGATCCTCCTGCCTCAGCCTCCCAGAGTGCTAGGATTACAGGCATGAGCCACACTGCACCCAGCATAAAATCTGAAATTTGAAATGCCCCCAAATTAGAAACCTTTTGAGCATCAATGTGATGCAAAACAGAAAATTCCACACATAAGTACTTAACACAAACTTTGTTTCTTGCTCAAAATTATTAAAAATATTTTATAAAATTATCTGCAAGCTATGTGTATAAAGTGTATATGAAACAATGATCTTATCCCCAAGATATCTCATTATATATGTGCAAATATTCAAAAAATCCAAAATCAAAAATACTTCTAGTTCTAAGCATTTTAGATAAGGGATAATCAGGTTGTATTCAATAAGTATTTATTTAAGAAATGAATTTTTTAGCCAGATGTGCTTTTTGTTGAGTAAATTATATTTGCTCTGGAAAGTAAGAAAACACAAAATCAGAAACAGGAAAATAAGTCATCTACCTCCCAAAGGTCACCACTGTAACATAGTAGCTAAGAGCATAAACTCTGTATCAGATTGCTTGGTGTAAACTCCAGCTCGGCTTACTAGCTCCTTAGGAGCCCTTCTTATCTATAAAAAAGGGAATGCTAATAATAATAGTACTTAAGTTATCAGACTCACTCTAGGACTCAGAGGATTAAATGAGAAATTCTTCCACTAAAATCTTAGAACAATGCCTCACCCACAGAAAGCACTAAATAAATATAGTGTGTGTCCTTCCAGACTTTTTTGTATTTATATATGTATGTACATATATATTTCATAAAAATAAGATTAGTCTGGACATACTGTTTCATAACTGGCTTTTACTCATATGTGGCAAACCTCTCTAAATATACTTTTCTTAATTATGTTTAATAACTACATAATATTCCAGTGCGTGAGTGTACCTTAACATGTTTAGGTTAATATTGTGCATCTAGCTTATAAGCAATATGGAGAATATTCATGAACATAAATCTTTGTGCAGTTTTTTTTATTATTTTGTTAGGCTACATTACCAAAAATTTTTTTTACCTTAACAGTAATCTTTTTCCTCTAAACATTGTCATCCTAAGTAGATACTTATTCCTAATAATTCATTTCAGGCTTGGCACCCGTAGCTGGGGCGCCAAGTAGGTCACTGAGTAGGGTGCTGGCCATATATACCCAAGGCTGACAAGTTCGAATGCAGCCTGGGACTGCTAAAACAACAATGACAACTGAAACCAAAAAATAGCCGGGTGCTGTGGCGGGTGCCTGTGGGAGGCTGAGGCAAGAGAATTGCTTAAGCCCAAGAGTTTGAGGTTGCTGTGAGCTGTGACTCTACGGCACTCTACTGAGGGCAATGTAGTGAGACTCTGTCTCAAAAATAATAATAATAATTCCTTTCATCTAATCTAAATGCTACTGATTATAGATAGCATCATTGTTTTTTTTTTTTGTTTTTTTGAGACAGAGCCTCAAGCTGTCACCCTGGGTAGAGTGCTGTGGCATCACAGCTCACAGCAACCTCTAACTCCTGGGCTCATGCAAGTCTCCTACCTCCACCTCCCAAGTAGCTAGGACTACAAGTGCCCGCCACAACGCCTGGCTATTTTTTGGTTGCAGCCGTCATTGTTGTTTGGTGGTCCCAGGCTGGATTCAAACCCACCAGCCCAGGTGTATGTGGCTGGTGCCTTAGCTGCTTGAGCCACAGGTGCCGAGCCAATAACACCATTGTTTATCATAGTTTTATGACCATTAAGATAAAAAAAAATACTGTTAGTTATATACAATTATATGCCACTGATTATAAGTAAAATATACTATATCAATTTCAGACATGTTAAAATATAAGGGAAATTGCCTGGTACCCTAGTTCACTCCTATAATCCTAATACTTTGAGAGGCTGAGGCTGAAGGATTGCTTGAAGCCAGGAGTTTAAGACCAGCCAGAGAGTCTTAAGAACAAGACCCTCTCTCTACAAAAAATAGAAAAAATTAGCTGGGAGTAGTGGCACACACCAAAAGTCTCAAGTACTCGGGAGGCTGTGGCAAGAGAATTGTTTGAACCTGAGAGTTTTAGGATGCTGTGAGCTATGATGATACCACTCTAGCCTGGGAAACAGAGCAAGACTCTATCAAAAAAAGAAGAATACATAGTAGAACCTCCCTATTTGACCACTACCTTACATTGACCACCTCCTAAGTTGACTTATTTTTAAAGACCGGACATGCACCACATATACTTAATGGAAGTTCTTTATGTTGACCACTTCCGTATGTTGACCAGTTGCATCTTAAAATCTGTGAAATAGGCGTGATGCCCATAGCACAGTGGTTATGGCACCAGTCACATACTTTGAGGCTGGTGGGTTCAAACCCTGCTGGGGCCAGCTAAACAACAATAACAACTACAACCAGAACAACAAAAAATAGCCGGGCATTGTGGCAGGCACCTGTAGTCCCAGCTACTTGAGAGGCTGAGGCAAGAGAATAGCTTAAGCCAAGAGTTTGAGGTTGCTGTGTGAGCTGTGACACCACAGCACTCTACCAAGGTCAAAAAAAAAAAAAAAGAATCTGTGAAATAGCAGTACGTAATCAAGTTAGCCTTTCTAAAACATGATGGCATTTTTGTTTGTTTGTTTTTTTAATCAAATTGTCATGTAGCCTGTGAGGTAAGGGGCCAAGCAGCAGAACAGTGACCTTTACAAGCATTCACTTAAGCAATAAACCAAAGGACAATTAATCCTTCAGTCAGGCAGATCCCCAGGTATTCACTATTTGTACTCACTATTTTCACATGCTAGGAGCTAGGGACCTCACTTGTTAATACCCTAAGGTTCTTTTTAAGAGCAACACAGACTGATAACCACCATTGCAGCCATGTCTCCCCCCCTACTTTTGTCCTCCCATAAAAGGGGGGATTAATAAGTTATTTTCTCCAATTCATTTTTTGCTGTTTTATGTACAGTTCCAAGGATCAGCTTCCTTTGAGTGTCATGTTTGACTCAGTATCTGCTTTGTTCTGTTTCAGGTACGGAATGAGCCCTGGAACATTTCCATTTCAGCAGAATATATTGCCCAGGTGAAAGGGATTTCAGTGAAAGAAGTCATAGAAGTGACAACACAGAACGCATTAAAACTGTTTCCCAAGCTTCAACACCTGCTCCAGAAATAGCTTCAAACCCATCGATTACAAACCAAATCAACTGCAGGGGCCACCATTTGAAAAAAAAAGAAATCTTCTGATTAAGAACCTGAATTGAGAAAGCTATTTTATGGAGATATAGAAGACTATAATTGTAGAGCAGTATTTCTCTTGGAGAAATATTGAGCTTAGATCTTGAAACCCTGCATTCTGATTCTAGCCTTGTGTTACATTTCAATTAGCTGAGTCCTGGCAGGAAATTGGGAAAATATTGCTACTTCTTAAGTTGTGGCATTAAGTAGAACTGCCATCTGAACTGAAACCATTGCTTCTGGGAAGCAGACCCCCACAGGTAAGGGGGGGTCTAGAGTACAGTGTACTAGAGTCTTACTCTGTTTCCCAGGCTAGAGTAGAGTGGCTGGAGTACTGCTGTGATGAGGATAGGGTAGGCTAATGTTTGATCTTTCACTACCTGTTTTATTTCCCATAGAACTTAACCAGCAAGTGGAGAGCATCTGGTTTCTTATACTATCAGAAATATTCTATTTTCTAGATTTGTAAAATTGAACATTTAGTACTTCTAATTATTTCTCTTTAAGGAAAAAATGCATATCAAGTTTCATACTGATCTTAGTTTTTGACTTATGAGGCTAGTGGGTGAGACAACCACTATTAAATACCAAAGCCCAGAAGTTACTGATGTGAAGTTCTACTCTGAATTTTTTCAAATATTTAAAGTGTAAATGTCTTTATTAAAAATATATCTTGCCTGAGATAACAGGTTCAAAACCAGCCTGAGCCAGAGCGAGACCTCATCTCTAAAAATAGCTGGGCGTTGTGGTGGGTGCCTGTTATCCCAGCTACTTGCGAGGCTGAGGCAAGAGAATCCCAAGAGTTTGAGGTTGCTGTGAGCTATGACGCCATGGCACTCTACCAAGGGGGATAGAGTGAGACTCTGTCTCCAAAAAAAAAAGGAGTTCAAGTCTAGGGTAGGCAACATAGTGATATGCAAGACTTCATCTCTAAAGAAACAAATAAATAGGCTGGGTACAGTGGCTCATACCTGTAATCCTAGCACTTTGGAAAGTGAAAGCAGGAAGATCACTTGAGGCCCAGAGTTAGAGACCAGCCTGAGCAACATAGCAAGACCCCTTCTCTATAAAAAATACAAAAATTAGCTGGGCATGATGGTGTATCTCTGTAATCCCACCTGGTCAGGAGATTGAGGCAGAAGAACTGCTTCAACCCTGGAGTTTGAGGTTGTAGTGAGCTATGTTGACACCACTGCACTCTACCTCAGGTAATAGAGACAGATACTGTCTCAAAAATAAATGAATAAAATAAATACATAAATAAAATCTTAGATGTGAAATAAAAAATTATGAATTATATGGAAAGATGGTGGTGAACACAATGGTGTGAATGTTCTTAATGCCACTGAACTATACATTTAATAAAGTTGATAAATTTTGTTATGTTCACTTTTCCACAATTATAAAAAAAAAATGGGGACAATCCCTGTGGCTCAGAGGAGTAGGGCACCGGCCCTGTATGCCAGAGGTGGTGGGTTCAAACCTGGCCTTGGCCAAAAACTGGGGAAAAATAACAGAAAGTTCAACATTGGGCAGCACCTATGGCTCAGTGAGTAGGGCGCCGGCCCCATATACCAAGGGTGATGGGTTCAAACCCAGCTCCAGCCTAACTGCAACAACAACAAAAAAAAATAGGCGTTGTAGCGGGCCCAGCTACTTGGGAGGCTGAGGCTAGAGAATCACCTAAGCCCAAGGAGTTGGAGGTTGCTGTGAGCTGTGACTTTACAGCATTCTACCAAGGATTAATAAGTGAAACTCCGTCTCCAAAAAAAAAAAAAGGGTAGTTTTCCACGTATTGTAATCACACCAAAACCTGGGTATTTAATTTTGTTATAGAGTAGCAAGTCCTGGAAAAAGTATCTGTCATAGAAAACATCAACTTCCTAAATCAAAGTTATTTTACATAGATTTTCAGTAAATATTTTTTTTTTTTTTTTTTTTTGAGACAGAGCCTCAAGCTCTCCCCCTGGGTAGCGTGCCGTGGCATTACAGCTCACAGCAACCTCCAACTCCTGGGCTTAAGCGAGTCTCCTGCCTCCGCCTCCCAAGTAGCTGGGACCACAGGTGCCCGCCACAACGCCCGGCTATTTTTTGGTTGCAGCCGTCATTGTTGTTTGGCGGGTCCGGGCTGGGGATTCGAACCCGCCACCTTAGGTGTACGTGGCTGGCGCCTTAGCCGGTTGAGCTATAGGCGCCGAGCCTCAGTAAATATTTTGAAATGATTTCACTTATAGAGGAATCCAGACTAGTGCTAGGGCAGATTATTCAATCCAGAGTAGCTACAAAACTTAATAGGGTACTTTATGAGGTATTTACCCATCAGTATCATTATAAACAAGATTCTTACATTTAATGGGTGGTTATATTAAAACTAGACTTCTGAGCCCTCTTCAATTTAAGGTTCTACTCAAACTATAATGCTTCACCTTGCCTGACCACCCCATCCAGACATGACCCTGCCCTCTAGATTGTTTAGCCATCTTCTTCATTTACTCACCCTCATGTTTGTTTCAGTTATCACAAACAGTTACTGAGTTGTCCACTACTCTGGTTCATGGGTTACAAAAAGGAATAAGATAAGGGCTTTGTCATCAGTTCAGAATTTAATAAAGGAGTTAACCAAGTAATTTCAAAGCAATGTGAAAAGTGCTATGGCAATGAAGAACAAAGCAGTATAAGCCCATCTGATGACATCAGATATTCCTTTTTTTTTTTTTTTTTTTTTTTGCAGTTCTTGGCCAGGGCCAGGTTTGAACCTGTCACCTCCGGTATATAGGGCTGGTACCCTACTCCTTGAGCTACAGGTGCAGCCCATCAGATACTCCTTTTTACTATAGCTACCTTGTGTATGGTTTTTAGCCTTTAGAGATTGTAAGCTTTTTTTTTTTTTTTTGAGACAGAATCTCACTATGTCAGGGCATCATAGCTCACAGCAACTTCAAACTTAATAGCTCAAGCAATCCTTGCCTCACCCACCTGAGTAGCTGGGACTACAGGCACTTGCCACAATACCCGTCTAATTTTTCTATTTTTAGTAGAGACAGGATCTTACTCTTGCTCAGGCTGGTCTCAAACTCCTAATGTCAAGCTATCCACCTGCCTCAGCCTCTCAGAGTGCTAGGATTATAGGTGTGAGCCACTGCACCAACCTAATAGCACTCTATTTTTTTTTTTTTTTAGAGATATGGTATTTGCCTGGAAATTAGGAACCAATATGGAATTATTTATGAAAGATTAGTAGTTTAAAATGTTAATGCATTATGTATTTCACAGTCTTGTATGTTCTATTTTACTAACTGAAGAGAATAGTAGAATAAAGTCTCTCCTGATAGGTGCCCAGCTAGAAATGGTAAGCCTTTGACAACAAACCAATTTTTTTGTTGTTTTGACATCTTCTACATAGCCTGAAACAAGTTTTGCAATATTATAGGCTCAGACATTTTTTAAGTTAGTGAATGGAGGCAGTAAGTCTGATTGCAGTTGAAAAATGAAATATTTTACCATGGAGCCTGTTCTTTGGAGTAGATATTAGGTATCTTATACCTTTTCACAATTGTTTGAGGTACATATTTTTCCCCTTTAGCCTACAAATGTACTAAACACCATTTAGAGGTTTCCTATTGTTGAACCAGTCTGAAAAATAGGGATAAACTCTCTGGGCCTGAAAGCCTTCCTGCATTCTACAGGGTGTTCCTCCCCTCCCTGAAAAGTAAAAAGGGCCCCCTCCACCCCAGTATAGAATGCCCTCCCTTCCATCCCAGTATAGAATGCCCTCCCTCCACCCCAGTATAGAATGCCCTCCCTCCATCCCAGTATAGAATGCCCTCCCTCCACCCCAGTATAGAATGCCCTCCCATCCATCCCAGTATAGAATGCCCTCCCTCCACCCCAGTATAGAATGCCCTTCCTTACTAAAGAAAACGTTCTTATTCCAGCTCATGGATTCTATCTTTCTTTAAAGAAAAAAACTGATATCAGCTCCTTTCTTTCATTATTATGCAACTAAGGTTCATTTATGGCTTTGCGGCTCCCCTCCCGGTGTATCTCTTGTTCACTACTTTCCTTCCCCTCCCCCCAGCCCCCAGGGCCCCCCTACTACACTAAACGTGAAGAAACGTCCTGCATGATGGAGCTACACTCAGACTTCAGAGTTTAATTTCTTGCTTTTGCCTTATCATGCTCTTTTGTACTTTGATGGAAGACTTCAAAACAGCAGATGTGAATTAACATTTCATTTACGGGATCTGAGTAACAATAGAAAGGGTTTCCAGGCTCGGCGCCTGTAGCTCAACCGGCTAAGGCGCCAGCCACGTACACCTAAGGTGGCGGGTTCGAATCCCCAGCCCGGACCCGCCAAACAACAATGACGGCTGCAACCAAAAAATAGCCGGGCGTTGTGGCGGGCGCCTGTGGTCCCAGCTACTTGGGAGGCGGAGGCAGGAGACTTGCTTGAGCCCAGGAGTTGGAGGTTGCTGTGAGCTGTAATGCCACGGCATGCTACCCAGGGGGAGAGCTTGAGGCTCTGTCTCAAAAAAAAAAAAAAAAAAAAAAGAAAGGGTTTCCAGGGCTGTTCTATGGTTGTTAGAGCTTAGCTTTTCAAGCATAAGAAAATTTCACTGTTTATTTTATTTTATTTTATTTTATTTATTTATTTTGAGACAAAAGTCTTACTATGTCACCCTCAGTAGAGTGCAATGATGTCACACTCACAGCAACCTCAAACTCTTTGGCTTAAGTGATTCTCTTGCCTCAGCCTCCCAAGTACCTGGGACAACAGTCACCTGCCACAACACCGGCTATTTTTTTTGTTGTTGCAGTTGTCGTTTAGCTGGCCCAGGCCAGGTTTGAACTCACCAGCCTCAGTGTATATGGCTGGCGCCATAACCACTATGCTATGGGCGCCAAGCCTCACTGTCCTTTTAAATTAAAACAATGTCTATGCTAATGCATAGAAAGTCAGTCAAAAAGATAAAATGGAGAGAGATGAGATAATTCGGGGATTACCAGTGCTAGATAAATGGGAGTCTAAATTGGGAGTCTCTAAGCAAAAACATGCCAGTAGGCCCTCCCCAGAGTACTGCAAATCGAGAACTCTGAATTGAGGGACCAGCTTCTGACTAGAAAAGCAGTGCCTAAGGGAAGCAATAGGAGGGAGAAGGGGTCTTGAGGTTCACATGGATAGACATTGAACAGTCTTTTTTTGCCTATCTCACATATGAATTCCCTTCTTTAGGGACTCCCTCAGCTTATTAACAGAACCTGCTTACTGCTATAAAAGTTAAGACTGCCAGGCAATCACTGTCCAGCCTCTCTGGTAGCCAAGGCACTCATAAGGAAGCAAGCACTGAACCTACGCTATGCTGACAAGGGTGGGCAGTGTGGCAGGTATGTTGGTGGCAGCATTCCAAGTCTGAGAGGCTGCAGCTCCAGGGCCGTGACAGTGGTATCTTTACCATTCTGGTTTAGTGGCCTGTGTTTGGTTTTTAGCCATCCCAGAGATTTTTATGGCATATCCAATATCCTTCAATAAATTCCTTACTGACTGGGCGTGGTGGCTCACTCCTGTAATCCTAGCACTTTGGGAAGTCAAGTGGGAGAACTGCTTGAGCCTAGAAGTTCAAGACCAGCATGAGCAAGAATGAGACTGCCATCTCGACAAAAAAATAAAAA